GGGGGGGGAAGAGTTTAAAATGCAAACAGTTGTTCCCGACGAATTTTTGTTTTGTTTTTTTGTTTGCTTTATCTTTGGTCAAAGTGCAGGATAAATACTATACCTTCTAGGCCTAAACAAAAATAAAAAAGACAAGCAAAAAAGACTCAAACAAACAAGCATTCAAGCAAACAAACATAAGAAGCCGCACGAAATCGAATGAGACCTGAGACTAAGAAGTTGTTGGAAAACGTTTTAGAAGAGAGACTCTTCATAAAGAATGCACTGAATGACCATCATTACGATAATTGTGCTAACCCAGATTTCGGGGGTTTCCAGAAATCTTGATTTACATCAAAAGTGGGCATTGCTCTACCTATAGGAGAAGTTTGGTTTCATTGGTGGGTAGATCTATATTTGTTTTATTCTTGAGAAAACTCTCCTTGTCTTAAAAAAAAAACCCGAATAAGGATCCAAAAACTCTACCTTCGATTTTCTCAAAACAGCATTTTTCGGGATAGCCCTCTTGTGCTTAAAAGCAACCAATTTAATCCCATAAACTTAAGCCAAGGTGTATCGTGTTAGTTTGCTGTTTGTTAAAGACTAAAAAGCAATTCAACCCCGTAGCGATATTTTTAACGCTAAACAAAATGCAACCATGTAAGCAACAAACGGTAAGCAAAAGTAGGACCCTCCACCCTTTTCCAACCCAAATAAATATCATGACCAGAGACGAGTTAGACTTAGATCTGAAGGTTTAAACATGGTTTGATTATCTAAGACCCCCCTCTCTCTCCCTCTCTATCTATCTATCTATAAATTTATTTCTATCTATCTATCTATCTATATATCTATCGATTTATCTATCTGTCTGTCTATCTCCCTCCCACGTACACACACTCACACAACATTTATCTCTCTTGCTCCTCCCTCTCTTGCTTATTTGTTTTCGCATCACCACCCCCCCCCCCAAACCGCGGTGCTTAAGTGTAAAGAGAGTAAACTGATAAATTTCCCAACAGCTGAAGGTGAGGATGGTTGTTTGTGTTAAATCTATTGACGTTCAAACCTCGGGCTCACTTTGCAGACAAATTAAATTTCAATCAATGAAGTAGTGATTAGCATTAGGCTACAAACTGCTAGAATATACGATTTACTATTCAGTTACATATAAATGACATTTCAGTTAATGAAGCAGTGACTACATTAGGCTACAAACAATGAAAATAGTATGCTACGCAGTTACGTGTAATAATATAATTATCATATTACACACGTAGGCCTACATGCACCTACTTTCATTTATCTTAAATATTACTTTTGGGTAGCAGACTCGTTGATAGATAAACATTTTCACAAGGATCCATCTACCATTTTGTATTCAAAACATATTATACATAGGCCTATTTACTGGGTTTCGTAAAAAAAAAGTGTGTGTGTGTTTGTATGTGTGTTGTGTGTTTATGCGCATGTGAGTGTGTGTGTGTGTGTGTGTGTGTGTGTGTGTGTGTGTGTGTGTGTGTGTGTGTGTGTGTGTGTG